CAAAAGTTGTTTCACAGGCACGTCTCTCTCACACTTCGAGATGAGCGTCGTCATGAACATTACGAAGAGGGGGGTGCACTAAAATACGCGAAATAAATTCTTCCGAGGGAAAACCGTCTTATTTTGTTTATTTGTAAAAATACAAGCGGCTGAGATTCCTCTAGGAAGGCAGCAGTTTTCATTGCTTTTCGTAGATATCTGAACGGTACTACGCTCGAACGACATGACGTGAAGCTTCGCGTGCTTAATCTTTCTCTCCCTTATGAGATAAAAATCTAGCCTCGAATCAAGTGGCATTGCTCGGCGATTCGGAGGCACCTGTTAACACATGCCGGTTCGGCGCGCCGGTGACATCGACATCCGGTGACGATGACAGGTGCTGTAGGCTAATCGGTTAATTCGACAGCTCGCGCATACGCGTGACTTTCATTCGCTGGGCGGCTCGTGCTGATTATTATCGGCGCCGCCGACTTAGAGAGTAATCAATGAGAAACAGCCGTACGATCAATCCGCGCGAATTATTCTCATCGAGCATAAGAATGCCCGTGATACTTTGAAATGTTTGTGCAGGATATTTAAGCGCAGGTTTTCGACGTACATATTGATGAACGCCGATGAATGTACATACAGTTATCAGAGGATGTCGATTGTCGAGATATACGCAGAAATATACGTGGGATTTGCGTACATAGATATAGCAAATTACTAGTGTACATAGATAACAGACGTATTTGCATCTGCAAGGTAAATGCAAAATATCTCACGGTTCCCACATTTGTTTTATCTATGTATGGATGCAGCAGTTTTTTTTTCCAATTATCGATAATATCAAAGTAACTATCTCGCGAATAATTAGGTGCCAATATACCACGATATTTCCTAGTTTTTCACGCGAAGTGCTAAATTTCGCATTGCGCTCAAAAGTTTCGCGAATCGCTTCATGGTGTTAATTTTAAACTTGGTGGCGATACAACGGCACGACGTTTCCTTTACGGGCTCGAATAACACTTGATGCGTTTGTACATGAGTACCGTGTACATTAGTAACTTTTCCGTATTCATGTCGGCACGGAACATCAATATTTGGTTTCGACACGACAACTTTAATCGGACTTAAAATGAGCGACAACCGCTAATAAAGCAGAAAGGAAGAAAGGGAGCAGAGTACGTCGGCAGTCGTTCCACGCGACGCGTCTTATCGACGCGTCGGAGGGTGATAAGGCTATCTTTATCAGCGATAAAGTCGCTTCGGTCTATCTCGGTCGCGAGAACACGAGAGCGGAGAAAGCATGCCACTTGATATTTCGAGCTATCGATACCGAGACATTTTTCGATACTTTGATATTAGCCATACTAACCGATCAACCCTCGGTGTAGGTGAATTTTTGAAAGTAACGCGAATGACGGCGCGGCTGAAGTTTCGAAAGATTTCGAAATTAGATAACGCGGGAACGGACTTTGGTAGAGTATCGCACGAGTCTAACGATAACCATTACCTTCCGTGAAAAGCTCCAGACTGTTTCTAACATCGTCCGAATGACTCCGCGATATCGCCACGATGGACAATCCAATTAGCGCAGCCGAGATAAACTTTTGAGTCGGCGTTATTCGCACGGGAACGGTCCGCGCATCGCTCCGAATTAATTTCTATCCGAAAGGGTCAACGTGCGGTAGCGCAGATGGAAAGACAAACAGAGAGAGAGAATCATACGAAGAACCGTAGTAGTCGCACGTAAAACGTTTGCCCCACCTTCTACACCTCCTCCACCCTCTCCTCCCACCCCCCTGCCGCGTTTCTCTTTCCGCCTCTGTAACCCTGACCTCCCGTAAAACACACGCCGGGAAAAAGACTTTTCCGGCGTGTACGCACGAGCGCGCTGCCGCGCTTCTGCCGGTGCTGTCGTTGCCGCCGCCGCTGGCCGAACTCATGAATGGACCTGCGACTCTATTTACGAGCGCGCGCGATTCGCCCGCCGCCGCTCCGCTTTTATCGCTGCCGTTACGGGCCAGCGTGACGAGGTGAGGGTGAGTCTCCTACCTACAACACCGACTTGGCTTTATCGCGCCGCGCCGTGAGATATGTATCAGCCCGGCGAAATTGTTTCCGAACGGCCGATTGTTTGGCACGCTTCGGACCGAGAGAAGGAAGCGGCCCTCCCTCCCCCTTCTTTCTTCTCGTGTATAAACAGTCGCGAAGGCGAGATCGCGGCGTATCGACGCGAGGGCTTCAAAGCGAAAGTGACTGAGGTACGGTAACATCTTGGAGATGTTTACCCCGCGCTGTTGCTTTACATTCGGGAGCCTATACGCCTCTTTGTGTATCTCTGCTAATTATCGCGACTTGGCGGTAACCTTGAACTATTAATCAATTTGTCAAAGTTAATTCATGATCTAGTAATTAATTGTAAACTCGCTAATGATTTACGACAAGTTATTTTCTCATACATCAATGTATACTTCTGTACACATCTCGCCGTTCATTGTTAGAGGGCTCATCCTAGGATACGAATAAACGATTGCTTGCTTCTCCTCCTTTCTCTCTCTCTCTCTCTCGTTGCCTCCGATCATTATTGCTATTACACCGAGCTCACATGGTGAGCGTAATTTGTCACACGTATAAGGGGCGTACCCCACGGACCTTTAAAGCAAGATCGTTAATAAGAAGCGTGCGGTCCACCATGACCTACGGTAAATTTCATCCCGCTGGCTTTTAGGTTCGATCGCGCGGCGCGAATAACTAAGGGTCATTAATACATCTCGCCGGACTATAATTCATGTCGCGTGACCGGTCGACGCGCCAACGGTGGACGAAAGTCCATCCGCCGATGGTAGTTATCGCAAGTACGCGGCGATCTGTTTCTTGAAAGAAGCCGAGATTTACATGGACTCTCGCGCGAACTCTTCGGACGAGTCGTTTTCGCGCGATGACATTAGCAGCGTGGGGTAAATAGCCACGAGAGTAAATACCGTAAGAGAGGAGCATCACGAGGATGGCGTTTCTCTTCTTTCCACGATGGAGGCTAACGTTGACTCGGGATATTTGCCTTTCCTAGACGTTGCCACGTAAGGGAAGCATGAAAACTCCGGGGTTGATGAATCTTGGTTTGCCGAACAACAAAGTACATCGAGTCAATTAGACGGCCCATCGTTGTGCTATTCAGCCTGTTCATGGTGTATGAGGCAAAGCGCCGTTTGCGTAGGATAAATCAGTTAAGTGCTTTCTTCCATTGCAATCGCATCTCTGTGCGTTACATCGCGCGAGTACAAACACACACTGTGTGTGTACCGGGAGAAAGATTTACGGAAATTTCGAACGGCCATGGAGTAATTGCAATCCGCGTCAGTATCGGAACGCGCGGGTTTATCGTAATTTCTTCGGGTCGTTAAACATATGTTTCGCCTGTAGTTTTAATTGACTTTGGCCCGTGTCTCTTTGCAAGATATACTTGGCATTCTTCGATATTACCTGATAGGAAAAAGAGAATTCGGATAAATAGTCAATCCTGGTACGACCAATTTCAAATATGAGTTTGGACAAGCTATGATTTTTGCGGTCGCGTAACAAGTTCCGGCGAACCTTGGTTAGCTAACTTCTATTAGAGACTCCTTGTCCCTTTCTGAATTGCAGAGAGTTCCTGGCATAACACAGATAGAGGGAAACAAACTTTAGCTAATGATGACTAAGACTAAAGATGACTGCGGGAGATTCCAATAGGAATTGCGCGCAGCAGTGATTTTTGTACTTGTAGCTGACGGACGAATATATCTAATAACGCGGCGAGTTGCTCTCCGTCGGGAGAGACTATTTTTGTAATTAGAATTAGAGAGGGAACCAATCTCCCACGCGTCAACCGCGTGTAATTCCTACTCTTCCCAGGCATCATCTTTATTGCACCGTCTGTGTGCGCGTATTACCAACGTGCTCGCACAGTGCAGGTTCCATCGAATATCTAAAATGACATCGTCCAACCCACCCCATCTCATCCCCCTCCTTCACACGGACTCGCTCTATCTCCCCGTGGTGTCTCGCTCATCTCCCACCTTCCTCTCTCTCTCTCTCTCCCTCCTTTCCTACCACTCGAACCCTTCCACACACCACCTCGCTCACTCGTCCTCCCCCACGAGCACGTCCTCCCTACCCGTCCTCCCAACTGCCCGCGTCGTTCTCCACCATCCCCCTATATTCCGGCAATCCTCTCGTGTCCTGCCTCTCTTCCTGTCACCTTCTTCTTCGCCCTTCCTTCTTCCATTTCCCGCCTTTCGTCCCTACGAATTATCGACGGGCGCAATTCCGATGGATAAAAGCGGCGACGGCCTATTATCGACGTCCTGTAGTACCGACCAGACGCGGATACCGACTAACCGTAATGCGGGCGGACTGCGATACCGGCATGATGCGCCGATTACACGCGAAATGCGGACAAACCGGAACGTGGCGAGAAAAATATATTGACATGCTGTAACGCCCACGGCGCAAAGTACGAAGATGTACACTTCGAGATGCGTACCGCACGGGTTTCTCGTTAACCTAGCAATAGCCGTGAGATTTTCTGCCACGCTCGATCGACGTGTCTTCTACGTTGCGCAAATTGTTATGTTTATTGTTTTCAATATCGCTGGTACTCGCGCTAATGAAAAAGAAAAATTGCTTTCTTGCAACTAAGATGTGTACTTGATATATCTAGCGCGTCGAGCTGTCTTTCGAAACATGAAAATTACGAAATATCTGATTTTATTTTTTTTTTATAACAACGATTAGAACGTGTGGTCGTTGATCAATTCATTATAGTTCTGTTTATACAATATTAATGAACGATTAATAATTCACTCTATTTGGACAACACTCGTATCGGTGAATAGTAGACATATTATAGATAATGAGTTACATTTTTCGCTATTATATATATATAGGGAGTATTCGACATATATATATATATATATAGGGTGTATTCTATATATATATCGAAAAGAGCTAGTATATATGTATGTTTACTTGTTACATTGGAATATCATCGATGTTACGAATGGAAAAACGAAATTAATTGCTATTAGATTATCGCACAAAGAGACATTCGTTATACGTCAATAGTTTTCGTGATTTTGAAGAGTTGAAATTCTTTAATTATATAGTAGATAATTTCATCGCGTTCTTTCTGCCTTTCTCTCTATATTTTCCCTCTTTTCCCTTATCTTTCAGCGTCGACATGGTAATTCAGAAAATACGTTCTCCGTAGGATTGGATACTCAGCTACAGGGAGTATTCGGCGCTCTCAAAGTAGAGGAGCCAAACGATGCGCGACGTTATAATTGAAGAGCGAGCGGATCGAAGGGCCATGTCACATTCTTATGAAAGTTACCTGATTGTGTGAAAAATTATCTGGGTGGATTTTACCACTCCATCGTGTTACAAATCTATATAACATAAAAAATAGTTGTCGACATACGTAGCATCTTCTTTCGCAGACGAAAGTTTTATATGCGACATTAAGTCATATTACAATCGGCCGAATTAAAATTCGAAGGCGATTATAAGATTTACCGATCGATGCAATTTTATGTGTCGCTTTTTATGTGCGTTTGTTCTTCGCATTATTCGCGGGTTTTCAAAACGCTAGCAAATAATGAAGTCACAGTCGGAGTCACATAATTATGCAGGATATCCGTTTCGCGCCAATAGTCAATTTCCGAATTGGCGTTGTTAATACGCCACGGTGAAAAGAGGTGCCGAAATTAAAGGGTGGAGAATGCCGTGACCGGCGCATTTTTATATATCAATGATGCACGAGCGGCGTGCATATCGAGATGAACGCCGCGATGAATGGACTTTCGAGCTATTCGTTTGGATTGGAATAGTTATACGCGTCGACTGCATATATAGCCACGCGTGCGCAACGTTAATTCCGTATGTAAAATGGTTCTCTCCCCAGCCGGAATTTCGAAAATGCACGCGAGTCGAGCGTGCAACCCCCGTTGCGCGCGATTCCTGAAAATCATTCGAACACCGACAACTTTCTATGCCGCCCTTCCACCGTCGTCCGTTGGATCTCTCTTGTCCTCTCGTTTATGCGATCCCTCCGTAACCGAACGTCCCGCGAAACACGCGAAATTGGAACGTGCGTTTCGGTATTCTTTAACCCAATTACTCGTTCACGAAAGATACACGAGTGGAAGAGACAATTGACGCTAATTTCACAGACTATACTCCCCCTTGAGCATTTTATTCAATCTCTTTGCGTTCCTGGAAACATATTATGTCTCTGAGTTAAGTCTGAGAATCTTCCTTTAAAATAGTATTCTAGTTTTTCCAAGAGAGTTATTATATCATGTTTATATATGTTAATACATATGTGTTATGAAGAATATACATTTGTACGCCCAGTTCTCTCTTCCTTTTAATTTTTTTAAATATACACCCATAGCCACCGACATGTTAAAATCAGCAACGAATGCGTAAACATAATAAATAAAGGACACATTTGACACATATAAATAAAGGACAGAATTGACCGATCTTTTCTTTTTTCTCGTAAAGTTACGAGAGGGCGCACTATCTTATCCTACCTGTCGGACCTGTGACCGTGATGGACATCCTTCGAAGTCTCGCTCTCTTTGGCGAAAGGTTTTTCATGCTATCGGCAAAGTCGGCCCTACAACTCCTGAGAAGGGCAAATATTGTTCACGGTTAAAGCTCGAGGGATTACCTCGAATTAGGACGTGTTAGCCCGCGTTAATTTTTGATGGTACACTCTTTGACGAATTCGCGAAGTCGGTCGTCCTCCGCGCGAAATTACGCGGGAACGGCCAGCCGATCGCGATTACGCGAAATGGTACGGAGCTCCGCTCGGGATTTCGAGGAACTTTTCCGTATCGATCGCACGCCCTTACGGGGAACCCTAGCCTTTCGCGAATCTTCAACTCCCCGCGAACTCGATTGTAAATTTTCCACTTCGAATACTCGAGCTGGTCGGTCACCATCCGCCGATGCACTCTCCGCGAATGACCGGAGTGCGCCTGTGTGTGAGAACTCGCGGTTTATCCGCGCAGAAATTTATAATGCACACACCGTCTGCCCGAAGTCAACCGAATCAAAATATCTCCCGTGCCTTTTCTCGTTTTCAATTCCATCCGACGGTACCTAATTTGGTTCTCTTCGTTTCGATATTAGAAGAGAGAGGAGATTTCGCAGCGACAACAAATCTATCAATCGTATGATTAACGCTTTCAGACCGAAAGTTCGAAGCTAAATCTAAGCCATGTCGAAATGTTTCGAGTCATCTGCTTGCAATGCAATATCTCGCCGTATTATGTATTTATGCCGTCTACAACCGTCACTTTTTGCATGGGTGTAGCTGCAAGAGGGCGTATTTTCGCTTCGCTCTCGCAATATCGTCGGAGGGAATTAGACGAGCGGCTTCGTGCCGCAGCGAGTGAAAATTATAGTTAGATAAAGCTATTCGTTAGCTTCGACTATTTACGACGTGTTCTCCTTTTATTCGCAATATTGCGCAATACGAAGAGAAGATCGGTATTGAAGGCGTGTCGGGGACGGAAATCATCATACTATAACGGTGCTAATGGCATCAAAATCCGAAACTCATCGAGATCACATCGATCTTCAATTCCCCGCTTAAAAGGGAGAAACGATCGCTGGAATGGGCGCAGTGTTGTCGTGGCGCTTAACCGGCGCGGCGCCGAAAATTCGCCCGACTAAAAACGCGGGCGATTTTAGCCGGCGCTGCTCTTGGAGCGGGGTTCGGATTTGGGTTTTGCCGCAGGGGTAGGTGCGCAGAGTGAACGCGGATCGATCCCCCTCGGCGCGAAAGGGGGGTTGCGACCGAGTCGCCCTCTCCGTTGCTCGGTATCCCGGCGTGTTCAGCCCGAAAACGGGAAGGGTGCCGCATCGCCGAACCTCGACGAAATACGAACGATCGACGAGAGAAAACCGAAGAACGATATCGCGTCCTTACTCGTCGCGTTCATCTTTCTTTTTTTCTTTTGTCAGGAAGGTCAGGAGGAAAAAAAGCGCGAGTTAGGGAAATCGGCGGGGAGAAACGTCACTGTCGGCGCGATACGCCGCGAGTCTCATTATCGGACGCGTTTTATCAGACTTCATACCGCCGCTATAACTCGAATGTAGGTTAGCGGCGGCGGATCCAAGAGAAGGGATGCCGAGTTTTCTTCGAAAAATCAATAGACATTTCTGCCCCTGGGTTTCACCTTGTCGCGCTAATAACGCCCGCCGTTAACTCGCTTTCGAAGATCTGTATCGCCGACATTTGTACGGGAGAACCTGATGAATGGATCTAAACTGACGGAAGAGTCTTTATGCATACGATAAATTAGTTTTTCTCTGGACATAATGAGATTCAAGTTGCGCCATCTCAACGCGAGACGTCTTGAAACGTTTTCAAATATTGACGATTCTTTTCGACAGCGCGCTGTTGTATTTGCCACTCGCGCGAAATTAAACGAAGGAACAAGACTCTTTGCATCTTGCAGTTTAACTCACGAGAATCTCTTCACTGTTGATCGCTAAAAAATTATCGATATTCCTATCGAGGGATAATTGGGAACCCCAAGTCAGTCGAGGAATTTGTAAACAAAGTTTGCTGGATGTACGTACTACGGAAGCAATATGCACGGCATTAACCGCAAAAGTATACGCGCACGTAGTTGCTCGCTTCGCGATAGATTCCCAACGTAACCATAGTGTCGTAACAACAATACAAATAAATCTGTACAGCCTTGCGTATGCGATAATTCGCGACCGACTCTCGTCGATCATTGGTCGATCGTTAGTCGCGAATCAAAGTTGGGACGAGGTCGAGCGTGAAGAGATCCCGTTTACCTTCGCAAGTACGTTTCCACCTGGCCTGATACATACCTGAGGAACCTGTACAGTCACGCTCGCTCGGTTTCTAGAGACCATCGCTGTACCATCGGTTATCTTAATGTCCGGATGTTCGCAGGATGCGCACTTGTATTGGCTCGTATGCGCGCAAAATGCACGAATACTGAAGTAACGTGTCGCGGGTAGGTATCTGAAAACATGAATTATTATTCAGATACGCTCGCGACGCTTCTTTCGAGATTTGCAACGTTTAGTTAACGACGAATTAATCTTGGGTAGTTATTCGCAGAGTTTGATTTGTACCGAAACTAGTGCAACTTGAAGCTTTGGATCTTAAAGAAAAATTTTTGCAAAATTTCCCTAAAAAATATTTGTCAATTTTAAAAGAGTTTCCTTTAATATTACATTACTTTGTATAATTATGTTGTTGCTGTGAATCGACAAAAATTGTTAACAATTCCTTTAATATGCGAAAATTCATAATTTTTTCCTGATTGTTCGTCAGATAACATTATCTTCCTTTTCTTTGATAAATTTATATATATATAATATATATATTTATATGTAATATGTGTAATTATATTACATATAATATATACATTTTTTTTTTTAAGAAGTTTTAATTTAAGATTTAACGTGACGTTTGATATTGAAAGAATTTGTGGTCGAGAGAAACGCATAAGACACATCCTGTACGTTCTTTCTTCAATTTTCTCTCGCGTCTTCTTTCCCAATTGATTTTATCGTCTACGTCAGGACCGCTACCACCGTTAGGCGCCATTATTGTTTGTAGTTGGTTCCTGGATTTTTTTACGAATAGTGTTATTGTCTGAGATAATACTTACTTCCTGCGAAATTGTTCTTCGTTCAACGAATCATAGGAAACAGTGTCAAATTGTCCAAAGAAAAAAGTATTTTTTCGTAATATCATATTTTATAAGATTAATATTCAATGACTCCCTCATATATTCGCCGTTATATATGTTCAATATAGCTGTGATTGAGATTTCATCTTATTTAAATTTTCTATAATTACACTTACATATGTACGATTACATATGTACGATTGATTAAGAAGTTCATTCTTTTTTAATAATGTAAGAACCGTGTAAAAAACTGTTAACATTTTAATAAATGCGAGTTCCTTGTGTATGAAAGAAAATTACGTCAGATTTCTTCTGCAGAAAGCAAAAAAATATCGTGATAGTGATTAGTGTTAGAAAATTTGTTCAATATCGTTTAATAAGCGAAAATTTCTCTTTTTTTCCTCAACTATTTCGCTGCATTAATTTCTATGAATTCTACAATCTATCATTCGATCCCGCTTACGAGTCAGCGAGAGGACCTCCTCCGGCAGCTCCTGCTTCCCGCTTCGATGCTGCGCAAGATGAACGGAGGTCCTATTTCCGGCCGATATTTAAATCCGACGAGGACCGAATCTGCTCGACCTTAACCGAAGCGTTCGGTCCGGCTGTCACATTCGTGGCGTGCCGAATGCCCGTCTCTCTCTCGTGGCGGCGGCAGCAGCGGCGTAACGCGTTAATGAAAATGGCAACGCGCCGCGACGTCATGCGGTAGCCTCCACGGCTAGAGTACGCGGCACAGCAAATTGCGTCGCTTTATCAATCTGAAATAACACCGGTGCGGGATACACAATGAGCGACAATGCGAGGAACTTACGAGCCGGCCAACGAAAGGACCACTACGTTGCAGCATGTGACACGTATGTTTTGAATCTGTAAACATTGCGATACACCACACTCGTTGCAAAAATACACATAGTTCGTATGTTTTGTTGTAGATAAACGGTCCATGCTGCCGGATGATGTTGTGTTGTGGTTAAAAAACTTTGCCGAATATCTTAATATGCAGCGTAAGTATGAGTGTCCTTTGCAAAGTTTCATCTTGTTGCTTTCCTTGTTGCTTTGTTTTGTGAAGTACTTGATGAATATATACCACTTATATGTTGGTTATATTATTGGACTATTCTGTGATGGTGTGCACTGCTATTGTTTTATTATACAGGTGTTTTTGTTCCGTTATAATACTATTGTGTACAGAAGAAAGCTGTGTGAATTGTGCACCGAAAATAACACCTCTTACATAGGTAAAATTTGTAGCTCTCATTATATAGTTCTTGTAAGTTTAGTAACATTCCAAAATTTTTCTTTTTACTTAATAGGAGAAATATGATCAAATATAAGCAGTAAACTGATAGTAATAACAGCTCAAATTTTAGTAAGTAACGAAAATAACGCATGTGTTTCTTATTATATATAAGGTTGTTCACTTTTATCATACTTTATGTTAGTTGAAAGTGTCACGTTTAGCAATTGTACTATTACTAAGTATATAGTTTTCGATAACTTGTCAAAGAGAGTAAACGTTGTGCATTGGACGAAACCTGATATTATTTACAAATTTACATCTTTTTCACGCTATTTCTCATCCTTTAACATGTAAGAGAATACAAGAGAAGCTTTCATCAGTGTTGTTATTATCCTTACAGATGTTTTCAATTTGCAAGCAGAGGATAGCGAAAGCTTTAATAAGCAAACGATTTAGCGCACACAACGGCTTAAAATATACGCAAGAAAATATGTTTTCAAGATTATAGTGGTCGCGAGCTGGTATGGTTGGCCTAATATTTATTAAAGAATGAATAATGATCTTCAGTGTTGGTAAATAAATGTGAGAAAAACATAGGGAATCTTCAGGATAGCCCAAGAAGCGAGATACTTTTGGAAGAGACTTTTGGTGCATTTATTGTCTTAAAGCTGCTGCAAAACTGCATTAATAAAAAAATACTGTGATAAAAAGAAGTAGAAATACTCAGGTGGCATTCATGTCTTGTTTATGCCGATTCATCTACTCTACCTATTTAAATGTATTAGTGTATATATATGTACATATGCACACCTTTTCTATGTATTTCACACACACATTTTAGTTAAGATATAGATGACTTAATATATATATATATATATATATATATATATATATATATATATTTGTTTAGTAGTTTATAATTCCTGAATTAAAGTTTCTTCAATATGTACCCCTGAACGTGATTCAAAATAGAAACAAAAGAAAATATCACTTTTCCTAAAAATTATTCCTTTGCTCATTAATTATCAATTACTGTAAAGCGAATTTTTACGACAGAAAAAAACAGGATAAATCTATTGTATGTATTTTATACTTCAACGTTTGGTTAGACTATTTTCCTACAAAGTGGCGTTCGTTGACTCGTAGTAGTAATTACTTTTATGATTGCGGCGTTCCACTTTTTAATCTATTGCGCGCATCACAATAAATAAATAGTAGCATGCAATGTATACGGAATATAATAGCGAGGCTCTTGCTCGTCCCTCTGGGAGTAAGTTCTAAGTCGATACTCAACGACGATATTGATGCGGAAAAATTAAATATGCTGGATTTTAAATTTATAAAATCTATATTAAAGGTAATTTTATTCAAGCGTGTAAATATTGTAAAATGTAGTAGAGTAAGAGAAAAGAATGAACTTATTAAAGAACCTAACAGTAATATAAAAGGGAAAAGGAATGAATCTGTATTAAAAATCCTAGTAATATGCAAGTCAAAATTGTTGTAACACTGCATCGATTCAATAAGGGGTTAAGCGACCAATTCAGTACGACCAGGTTAAGCAAGAACTCATCTTCACATTAGCGAGTTCTTCCAATTTGAGAAACCTACGGCCCGGAGATTTCGTATCTTCTATAAATGTGGCTTTATTTGTACGATTAATAGCAGTAAAATTCACGTCTCGTTAGGTTATAGTTGTTTCATATTGCGATTGACCCCGGATTGCCTCGACTTTCAAGCCGACCCTGCCTCGTAGTTTATAGATGAAGCGAACTTACCGATCTATCAGTTATTCGTTCGTTAATCTAGCACCGCGAATGTCCCTCCGACGATTTTACCTTACATCGTCCGAGTCGTGAATAATGATTATTCAGTCATCGCTACGATTAATATTACGGCCTCTTATTATTATTATGGCGCCACGGTCGCAACGCCAGTCAGCGTCGAACAAAGTCGAGGATTTATCACGGACGGCTCTCTCAGTTAATATACATAACGCTGGCTAATATTCGTCGCGCGCTTGTATTTTTGTATAAATTTTACATCCGACGGTGGCCGAACGCGGCCGAAAATATCCGAGATTTTTGCTCCGTTGTATCCATCGCGCGTCGAACGCGCGACTTCCCCCTTCGCCGCACCGCTATTCTACCACTCTCCGGTCACTCTCTGTCGTCCTATTTCTCTCGCTCTCGTTGCGACCCTTCTCTGTCACGTCACAACGTTCGGGCAACGTCGGGCGCGCTCGCGCGACATCGGCCGTGACTTTTGTTGCGCGCTTTGTAGAACGTATAAACGGATGAGGCTTTTTCCGGGACCGGCAACGCGTGCTACCTTGTGCGCGCAGGATGCGATGGGGAGTAAAGCCGGACGAGAGAGAAAGAGAAAGAAAGTCGCTTTTGGAGCGCTCGCTAATGACTACTCGCTCTCGCACAAGGTGTGTGCGCGAACGGCAAATTCCAATAGCTTGAACAATTCGGCAACGTATTATCATGCGTCGTCCTTGTATCGGAACGGATGATAGAATCAAACCTGCGATTTCCTGCGCAGGAAGAGACACGATGAAAAGCATACAGAGTCCTCCAGCAGGACTCGATGGCGTCATTCACTCCCGGTCGGGTATAGCCCGTCACCGTGGCTGCATCACGGTTATACCCGTAGACTCCGACGGTCCCCGATGTTAGCGCGATCGATACGACGACCATCCCCCGTCGTCAGCCCGGCCGATTTTTTTCCGTTCGACCCTCGCGCCTGCGCGCACCACCGCGCGGTTTCCCCTTTCCGATTCCGAGCGAGCGGAGGAGGGCCGCCGCCACCCGACGAAGCGGGACCGAGCGAGTGTGCGCGCGGCAACGACGAGAGGTTAGGTGAGGTGGGGCGAGACGAAACGCGGCAAGGCGAGGCATGGCGCGACGCGGGTAGATGCGGGGAGAAGGGAGTGTGCCTTTATTATAGCCGCGCGCTTCTGCCATACCCCCGGCGCTCGAGCCAGAAACTCGGCGCTGCCAGGGATCGCCAATACCAATTTTGGAACGCGCCAACGTCGACCGAAATTCACAAACGAGATCTCGGAATTAGCAGGGAAAATGTGGGACCGCGCGGCTCGATCGATCTCTCGAAAAATATCAGGAGGGCAGCAGGAGCGAGATTAAATGTATTTATGTACATTACGTCGCTGGTGGGCAAGGGGTTGGGCCGCAGGAGACACGGGGGTGACGCATTACGCGCGGACGACGCGAAACGAGCGGGCGGGTAATTTAACGAGAGGCGCCGTATTATTTTCGAATGGAACGTAAGGACGAGATATCGCGTTCCACTTGCATCTTTGCGTGTCTCGTAGAAAATCAGTCTAACGTACCGACCAGACTTTTGACATTTCCTTCGGCGTCTGTCCCCACTCTCCGTTCTTACGGGGAATGTACCGCCCTTTAGCTTTCGTCACGAAAGAAAGAGATCCTTTGACGAATGTCAACGAAAATTTTCATCCGCTCCACATTAATATCCTGATACACTTTTTAACTCTAATCCTATCTACGCGCGCGATGTCACTTAAAATAATGCGTAGCCCTTGGATTATATCTCTAGAGTGAGATTGTAGAGTGAGTGATGGAGTAGATTGGATTAGGTGTTTTAAATACATTTTAGCTACTTGTATATTTGTTTGCATTTAACGATTTGAATTCCTCGAAAGATGTAGCCGTCCGGATAAAAAAAAGAAACGAAAATGCAGCGCTGACCGCAAGTCCAGTTTTAGTCGATCTTGAGACGCACCGCGCTCGCAACGTTAATCGAAATAAATCAAACCGTCGATCACACGTAGTTGCGACAAAGGCTTCCTCTCTTCGGGCAATCGCTGCTAATAAATATTACAATCGCGCGATGTAGATATGAAAATATATAGCGAGCTCGTCGGTGATATAATACCTTTTGATGCGCGTGTGTACGCGCGCATGAAAGCGGGAGGATTAAATGAATTTCCTTCCGGATACCTCGCTAGAGTTTTCCTCGCTAATTACGACCGACTGACTCAAGTAGGGCCGCTCGATTCGCGATAACCGAACTCGAAATTCGAAGCGTCGCGTTATTTTGCGTCTCTTTCACGCGCTCGTTCTCTCTTGCGGCGGATATTTGTTGACGATTGCGCTACGCAACGGGTCGTTGGGATTTATCGGATTTGATATCGCATTTTTCGTCATTAAAAGACATTTCACATAAATATGCAGGTATTTTCGCGTAACACCGCACTAACAGCGGGTGAATGGAATTGGAGGGTGAATCGAATTGAACTCGAAGACTAGTTTCCCAGAGAAAGTATAGTGATTGGTCATGAGTGGTAACTACTCGTGGTGATCGGAAGAGTCAGTCAAATTATTCCGAGAGTAAGTGGAAATATATACAAGTCGGTACACGGATTTTTAATTGAAACGACTCCGTCGCGGCTATTGCAGCGGCAAATACTTCCATCACGTTTTACCTCATCGTAAGATCGACGTCCTTTCTTTTAAGTGTTCTCGTAAAATAATTCGCGGATAATTAATGAACGCAGACGCGATTGGCAAGCAAACGACCATCAACGTTACGACGAAGAACATCAGCGACAAATTACGAGAAATTAAACGCGATTCATCGTATGCACCGCTTCTTAAGATTTCCACTTTTCTAGAAAAGCTGGAAAAGCATGAAAACCGAGAGCGTTGGAAAAACCGAAAGCGATCAGGAGATAGTTTAAAGAGCCACGAAGAACGTGAGAAAGTAGTTTGTTAGTCGAGGAAGTGACAGCAAAGTGGAGGAATTTTTGAATTCAATTCGCATAGCGAATCCTAATTCTTGCGAATTCCTGTCTCGTTCGTTTCGTCAAACGATGAAACTGAAAGAATTCCGCTGAATAACGTGGATAATCGATCATCCCCTTAAACTTATGGATTAACGCTAATGAGGAAACTCGAGTTGCCTTATATATCGAGCATAATTACTATAGGACCGTCAAACATTCACGAATGCTACAGAGACGTGGCGGATCGACATTATCGCCTAATTATTTACGCAATTCTAGCCTGTGTTCTATCTCGTTTATATAAACACAAATTCAATTTTGATAAAAGCAAGGAGAAAGAGAGATGTATATATTAGCCAAACACTCCGAACATTAAATTTTACTTCGTCAATACGTTCGCAAACCGAAAAAATGTAAATCGATCAAATGATCTTACTTCGCATTCAAATCTAACTATAATTCAATTCGATCTGCCGACGATTTAATTTAGAATTTTACCGTGAGATATTATTTAAAAAACCAAAAAAATGCGCCTCTTAATTCGATTTTCTCATTTTTTAAAGCTTTCAATGACTTTTTCGAACAACGGCCGTTTGCGAAAACGCTCTTGTCGGTGAAGCGCGCGACTCGGCAAAATTCTCTTTTTCTCTCTCCTTTTTTTTTTGCAGTAACAAACGCCAACGATAATTTCGGCGTGCAGAATGACGGCGACCGATTCGTTTCCATTTCTGTTCGTACGAATCGATCGGCGATTCGACTCGCGATGCCGCTCCAAGCACGCAGCAGATATTAACGTACCTCGTCAAGATTTTAACACGGCGATCGATCGAGTCGGAGTTCATCAACGGCGCAATGCGTGCGTATATATATACATGCGTGCACGCGTGCGTGTACACGTACACGCACACACACATATATATATATATAGTGTATATATGTGTAGTCAATTAGAGAAAATCGAATTCGTCGTTTCGCGGTTAAAATTCGTACCGATCCGTTCTCCATCCGTATATATTAAGCATGCTACAAAATAATACATAGCCGTGGTGATGTCCGTGCAGCTGCAACTGGCCGTGCAAGCTGGACGCGTAGCGGTGAGTCCGGAGCTCCTCGTCTCTCACTCATCCTCCCATCTCTCTCTTTCCCCACCATCCCCTATACCCAATTCTCTCTCTCCCTCACGCTCCTCTCCTCTGCCACCCTCTCGCTCCGCCACCCGTTTCTCCTCTCGCGCTCTCTCGCACCAGCTCTCGCGAGAACGCGCGCGCTTCCCTCCGTTTCTCCGCTTCTGAGTTATATTTAGGTGAACTCTGGTATTATCCGACGAGCTGACGGACGTACGAGCGGATGGACGTACGGACGGATGTACGAACGGACCCGTCGTACCAACTGGAACCAGAGGGCTTTTACTATCCTGTCCGTTACGTCTGACGGCCCGCGACACGGTAGCTCGCGGGTCCAGTTCGATGGATCGATATACGTCGACATCCGGCCGCCGCGCCGGCCGGTCGGTCGGTCGGTCGATCGGTCGGTCGCGAGGCCGAACGAAATTCGCGGCTCTATTTTGCCGTCCGGTGATTGGCGACCGAAATCCCCGCTGGACTTTCGCTGCTTGGCTCTCGGAAGTTTGCCGGTCGCCGTAGGAAAAATATCGGCGAGCGCGGCGGTCGGCTGTTACCGACGAACAGAAGGTTGCCGCGTCGATTTAATGAAATTCCTCCGCTGAAAACGTCGGATTTCTCTCTCTCTCTCTCTCCCTCTCTCTCTTTCCTTCCCGTTCTCTCTTTCCCAGACCTTTGATTTTGTATTTTAGTATTTAGAAATATGTAAATTGCATGTATACATGTTTTTTCATATGATGCGTAGAGATTTGACTGTGTTTATGTTTCAGTTCAGATAACATTTTCACCTGAAAATCTTTATTTTTTTTAATTATTATTATAATCATATATACTCTTCAGTCAATCGATAATATTACCGGAACTTAATTACGACGACGACGTTAACTCGAAAATATAAAAGCAACGATTTTTTTTCATGCAATGTAATTTTCCATATCGTTATTGAAAATATAAATTTTCTAAGGCAAAATATCTCGTGAATAAAGAAGATCGAGAAACTATTAGTATCCGGTCATTCTTCTCACTGTCAAATCCATCTCCCAAATCGCTCCGGGAACCAATATCGGAGGGATGCGCGGGGAACACGGTACATCCACTATACAGCTAACCGTACACGCGCGCCCAGGACGCAATTAGTACAGGTACAGGTAAGGGCGCACAGAGAACGGCGGAGAGGAGCCAGGGGCAGAGGTGAAAAACAGAGCCGCGATACAGATTGTACAAATTGAAGGATGTCTCGCGCGATTCCGACGACGAACGAAAACGCGCGCGTTTTCCGGCGTTCGCTAGTAAAATTTTGCAATTTCTACTTTATTTATCGTTACGCTCTCGTAGGACGACGCGTCGGCCGCGCGCACCACCTCCGCTCGCGTAATCGCAATGTATGTGTGCGCGTATGTTTTTTTTTATTTCTATTTTATACATATATTAGCGCGCACACGCACACACACACGCGGCGACGCGCAGTGCCGCGAATACTCGTTATAGCGTAATTGTATTATTTGTCGGCCCGCGCCGTATACGTACAAGCCGGCGGTAGGGCTTCGAGCCCCGTGTCGATGGATCGATACGTCCATCTGCTCTCTCGCCGCGCGATTCGCCGAGTATAGAGCGAGTCGAATGTTTCCCGTCGTTTTCCCGTCGCCTCGCCGATTCGATCGCCTACCGCGATAAACGCTTCATCGCCGATATCGCGCGTTAGCGTCCGATTTTTCCGAAAGTCAATCGATCTCGGCTGTCTTGCCCAGGAGAGAAGACAGGAATATGCGATGGGGTGGAAAGCGGAGGCAGCGCGGTTGACTTTTCACGGAGAAACATAAACATTTTCGACGGCTCGTCGTGCACTCGAAGATATTTTTTTTCCACGCATCCTGTAAGTATGATGGGACGATGTGTAATACTTTCTCGCTCGGTTATACATTCGGGATGAAGTACAATTATCAAATGCAAAATCCACGAATCGAACATTTCGCTCTGCCTGAGTGACCCGCTTGTTAAATAAGAGGGTATTTTTATCGGTACGACGTGTACGTGTGATTTTAATTTTCAGTTTGCGAACAATTGCGAGTGTTTCGAAGCAACAATATTTTGTGAAACAATTGTAAATGGTGTAGTCTATGTCCATTTTTGAGTGACGCTCCTTCCGTGCGCGGAACTTCTTACTAAT